CTTATTTACCAAATTCTGTAAAGAGCATGGTATAATTCACCAAACAACCATGTCATATACACCACAACAAAATGATGTAGCTGAAAGAAGAAATAGAACTCTAATGGACATGGTTAGGTCTATGATGAGCCATTCAAATTTATCACCTCATTTTTGGGGTGAGACTCTCAATACTGCAATATATATTATTAATCATCTTCCAACTAAATCTATAGACTTAACCCCATATGAATTATGGACAGATAGAAAACACGACCTTACTATATTGAAAGGTTTCTTGGGCACATGTACATATACCACCACAAAATAGAGATAAATTACAAAGTAAAACTATAAAATGATCATTTATAAGTTATTCAAAAATTTCTAAGGGCTATAGATTCTATAACTATAAGACTAGATCCTTAGTAGAGAGTCGTGATGCTCATTTCTTAAAAAATATAGATGATGAAAATATTTTAAGTAAGCCTATAGACTTATACAAAATTGATAAAGATAAGGGTATCTAAGACCCTATTTCTCAGTCTCCCTCTATATTTTGTGAGAATGATTCAATTGAATCAAGTATACCAGATAGGCCTAAAAGAACTAGAGCACCACCTACAATCTTTAGAAGAATTTTATGTATTTATAAATGAAGATAATTATTCTTTAATGAATGAGGATTCAATAGATGAACCTCGAAGCTACAGTAAAGCTAGTAGCTCACATAACTCAACTGAGTGAACTTAAGCCATAGATGATGAATTTGATTCTATTGAAAGAAATCAAGTTTGGGAGTTGGTTGATCTTCCTAAAGATAGAAAAGTCATTGGTTGCAAATGTATCTTAAAGAAAAATCTTAATGTAAATGGATTCATTGATAAATATAAAGTTAGGTTGGTAGCAAAAAGATTCACCCAAAGGAAGGGCATAGATTATGTAGAGGCTTGTTCTCCAGTAGCAAAATTTTCATCTATTAGGATCATCATATTATGATATAGAATTATTTCAAATGGATGTCAAAATAACTTTCTTAAATGGAGAATTAATAAAATATATGTGTAATTAAAAGCCAAGAAAACAAAGTACATCAACTTAAGAAATCTTTATATGGTCTAAAACAATATTCTAGGCACTGATACATTATTTTTCATAATTCAATCACTGAAATTGATTATGTAACCAATAGGTTAGAACATTGTGTACATGTCTGGAATAGTAGGAGCAATTTTGTTATATTATCACTGTATGTAAATGATATTGGCATGATTAGCCATACGAAATCATGGCTAAGTTCCCATTTTGAGATGAAAGATATGGGAGAAGCCTCATATGTATTGGGCATTAAAATAATAAGAGATAGAAATTTGATACTTCTATGTTTATCTCAAGAAAATTATTTAAAATTTATTTTAAAGAGATTTAAGATGAAAAATTGTAAGCCCATAGATACACCGGTTTGTAAAAGCTTGAAATTGTCAAAGAAAATGTGTCTATTAAATGATCATGATAAAGCTGAAATGGAAATAATTTCATATGCTCAAGCTGTAGAATGTATAAATTATGTCATGTTGTGTACAAGACTTGATTTGAGCCATGCATATGATCTTGTAAGTAGATTTCAGAGTAATCCTGGGATGTCTCATTGGCAAGCTATAAAAAGGATACTCATATATATTCAGAAAACGAAAACTTAAAAGTTGTGCTTCCAAGCTGATAACTTAGAAGTTATTGGGTATTCTGATGAAGACTTTGCAGGAGACCTAGATGATAGAAAATCAACCTCAGGATTTGTATTCCTCTTTAGATGTGGACGTGCTTCTTAGTCTAGCAAGAAACATGGTTGTGTAGCACCGTATACTATGGAAACCAAGTATATTGATTGTAGCATTGCTACAACTTATGCCATCTTGATTAAACGCTTCATAAATGATATGAAACTGGATATAGCTGATGGACCTGTTAATTTTTTTGTGATAATCAGGCTGTCATCTCATCAATTAGATCATATATGATTACAGACCTTTTAACAAAGGGATTAAGTACAAAAATATTATCAAAGCATGTAGCTTTGATGGAACTTAGGAATATTTAAGTTAGAAACTCTCAAATAGGATAATTTTCTTTGATGTCTTGATCATGAGAGGAAAAGCCGTATTAGCATAAAAATCCCCACGACATGACTTTGGACTTTTTGTTTTTGTTATGAGATACATAACCTCACAAGCGTGAAAAGCCTCATGACAAGGATACACTTATAAATATTAAATCAACTAAGTGGTATAAACATTATGATATCTTAATGTATCTGGTCCTCATGGCCAAGCGAGAGATGTTGGTATGTATGAGTGACCATGGAGCCTAACATGTCTCATATTTCTCCCTCTTATTATTTATCTTAATGATTTAATATTTATCATAAAAAAAAAGGTTTTTTAGAGAGAGAAGAGGTCGTTATCTAACCGGTGGATGATAACTACTAACCTACTAGGAATTGTGGGCCACGTTTCTTAGAGATTCCAAGAGGAAGCCGAACGTTGGAGAACAACCTCCTCCCATCCATTTATAACTAGGCATTTCATAGCCATGGAGAGGCACATACAGAGAATTAATTTTTGAGTTCTCATTGTTTTGAAAAACCTGATCTTTGCGATCCGCAGTTTCACGACATTGGCTTCAACTCCTAGGAATTTGGTGGGTCCATGTCTTCCCTAAATATTTCAACACTTTTACACTCTGCTTCTGCTTTGTAATTCTTCGAATTGTTAAAGATCATGAATACTTTGGATGTTTTTTTTTGGCTTTCAGTCGAAATCTTCAGTTTTTCTTCCATTTTCCACAGTGAGTCTCTGGATCTTAGAAAAAAATAAGAGGAAACATTTGAATTTCTATATATCGGGTTTGCATATGCTCACAGTTTGCTCTGGTTGCAATGTCTTTCATTTCATGGTGTTGTAATTAACTATTTTCATATCCTCTTCTTTTCTTTTCTTTTTGATATTTTACAGCTTAGATCTGATAAGAAATCTGTTGAAAATGTTGACTTGCATTGCTTGTTCAAAACATTTAGAGGGCTCTTTAAGTGATGCTAAAGAAGATGACGCTGCAACCTTCAATACTAATGAAGTCAAACTCTTACTGCTCATGGTTTTTCAGTCATCCCGTTTCTGCTATTTAGTATAGTGGAAAATTTAGGCATCCTTTTTTATGGTTTTGTTGTGAATAGGGCTTTAGATCTATGGGTTTTTTTTAAAGAGTTTGTGGTATATTGAAGCTGCAAAAAGGGCTAGAAAATTTTTTGAGACAGAAAGAGAGGAGAGAGAGACAATGTAGAGAGGGTTTTTGCAATTTTGGGTACTAGAGAGAGAGATGGAGGTTTGAGAGAGAGAGAGAGATGATGCTTTGGGTATTTTAGAGAGTTCGCGGTTTATTATGGCTGCAAAATGGGTTAGATAATTTTTAGAGAGAGAGGAACTTCTCTACAATTTTGGGTAATACAGAGAGAGAGATGGAGGTTTGAGAGAGAGATATGATGCTTTGGGTCTTTTTAGAGAGTTCGCGGTTTATGAGGGCCGCAAAATGGGTTAGATAATTTTAGTAGAGAGAGGAGAGAGACGATGTAAAGAGGGGAACGTTCTCTATAACTTTGGGTAAGTAGAGAGAGAGAGAGAGATGGAGTGTTGAGAGAGAGAAGGTGATTTGAGAGAGAGAGATGGTGCTTTAAGATTTCAAGCATTGAAACCACATTTCTCGACATTGTAGAGATTGTAGAGAGAGAAAAAAGAGATAAAAAGGAATTAGAGAGAGAAAGAAGAGATAAATATTAAAAAGAATTAGAGAAAGAAAGAATATATAAACGTAAATGAAAAAAGGGTTTACGACATTTTAAGTGTCGCATAACATGATTAGTGTTTACGGTACTTAAAATGCCGTATAAGGGTTAGTGTAAGTTTACGGTACTCAAAGTACTGTATAAAATGCCCTCAGAATTATAGTAGTTCGAGTATCGTATAAAATTCTCTAAATATTACGGTGCTTAAAGTACCGTATAACATGCACTTACGATTACGATAATACGACTACTGTGAAGGTCATTTTGATAAAAAAAAATCGAAAATGAGGAAAATGGGTGTCGTCGAGATAAATGAAAGTTTGAGTTTTTTTTTTCAAATTAAGCTTAAATCAGGGTATATTTGCGATAATTTCCCTAAAAGAAGCACAAAGACCCACTTATATAAAATAGTAGTCCATCAAAAATACTATGTTGCATACACCAATGAAATAAAAAATAATATAAAAATAGTGAAACTTCTTTATGTATAAAAAAAACAATAAAATGCTTATGCAAATTCGAATCTTGCACTGAATTCCTAGCTATCTAAATTTGTAGTATCATTGAATATCTCTCTTGCTCTTTATAAGGATACTATGAGTTTAAAGAAAAAGAAAAGATGATTTTTTAGTGGATTACTCTTCTTTTAAATCTACATATTATTTTGAGATATCCGATTGTTTTGATTACCTTTTTTGGGGGATATATTGCTTGTATTTTTTCATACATGTTTTCAAGGGAACTCATTGATGAAGTTTTTGATGGAGTTTCTTGTTATCAAAATTCTTAATTTAATTTTATTGTTAATGTAATTATTTTTAAACCAAAATTTAATAATATTAAGCTAATGAAGTAACAAAGTTTTAGGAAAGTTTTTTTTTAAAATGTATTTTTGAAAAAAATAAAATATGGATTTATATCGGTTATGCTAAAAAGACTTGAAGTTCTTAACGAATCTAAAAAAGGACACGTTTAGCATGCGGCCAAGCCCACACATGTATTGATGCAGGCTTGGTAATAAATATATATTTTAAATATAATATAATTTTTATTTTTAGAGAGTGGAGATCATGAATATAAAAAAATAAATAAATTTTTAAAATTAAAAATAATAATTATATTAAAAAAACATTTAAACCGTTAGTTACTCGATGGAATAGGTATCCATCTTTAACATGGATGGATGCTTTATACCTCTGGACTGCATATTGTACAAATGCGGGGTTCTACAAATGCGATCGAGCTCCGGATGAAACAATTGTTCTTCAAAAAATAGGAGATCTCTGGCTGAATTTTAATTTGAAACATGGGGTGAAATCTGTAAGAGGAGGGGAGGAAAGAAAGGACTAAAAAATAACGGTTTATTTGGAGAGAAACGTTTTACATGGCGGTGTGAACTGCTACAAGCAAGATTCAGCCTCTTCATTATTTTTATTTTCTGAATATTCTATTCTATAAATATAAAGTCCACAGGGCAGAGCCCAAATTTGATCTTGCAAGGTCTGAGAGAGAGTTGGAAAGCATGGCTTCTGATTTCAAATCCTTTCCAGTGATAGGTAATAGCACCTCTCTCTCTCACTTCCATTCGTGTGATAGGTAATAGCCCCTCTCTTTCTTTCAATCGATAACTTTCATTAATAATCTCTCCCTCTTTCTATATCCCCTCGGTCACTTTCGTTGTGGACTTTCATCAATACTTTAATTACCTTATTGGCGCTCTGCTTGGTTTTTGCCTTTACGCAGTTCAGCTTTCAAATGGATGTTTGCTTTTGATATTTTGAGTTGTTATACTGCTAACGAGTGTACCCAAGAAGTGGTGATATTTGATCCATGATTGTTATCAATCTTCCAAATTTTCCTTTTGATAAAAAGGTATCAATCATAATCTGCGCTTATTAGAGGAACTTTATGCTGCCATGCTGTTTAATAACTGGTCAAGTAGGAGAGTGTTTCAAGACTTGGTGGAGTCAACTCGAACTCAACCAAGTTACTGGGTCTTGGCCATGTGCCAAGGCAAGTAGTTTAGTTACACCTTGGATAATAGGAGGCGTGCACTACTTGGCTGAGTACTATTTGTACTCGCCCGAGTACAACACTACTAGGCTGAGTAGTAAAAAATGAGGCCCAGTGGTAATGAGTTATTGGGGAATTGGACTGAGTCTGATTGGATTCACCAATTATTGAGCTACTTTTGCAGTGTTGATGCTGCAAAAGACACCCAGTCCAACAATAATTAATCCGATTTATTTCTAGGTGCCCAAAATTCTATAAGAAGGATTCTTTAATAAAATTTGATCATAGATCGGTTGATTTTAATCTTAATCTAGAAGTTTTGGTCAAAAGACTGGGTGTTTTGAGCAAATGTGCCATTAGTCATGTATCTCCCTTATTTCTCAACCTAATTCCTTGAGATTTGATTAAACTTGAAGCTAAGAGAGTCTTTCACAATATCCATGGATTGATTTGTGGGATTACAACCCCTATCATGAGATATCTGGCCCGAAGTGGGTCAGTTCTGTTGAACAGGAAGTAGTTTGTGAAAAAACCCAATCAATTGCCATTTTCATCCATTTTCCCTTGTTTCTCAACCATAATCTAATATGAAGCTAAGAGAGTCTTCCACAATATCCCAATATAGATTTTGGGATTTCAGCCCTATCATGAGATATCTGGCCCGAAATGTGTCAGTTCTGTTGATCAGGAACCAATCCGTTAAACAACCCTACCAAAATCCTCCATTGATCCATTCTACCTTGTTTTTCATCCAAAAAGCTTTATATTTGATTCAAATTGAAGCTAATAACATTTTCAACAATATCCCCCCGTTAATTATGTTGGAGCTGCTGCCTTTCAAGGCCTTGACTCTACCGTTCATTATAGTTCTTGATCACAGTGGGAGTGATCTTGAATGCTGGACTTACTGGATTTTAGCGACTTGGTATCTGGGAGTGGAAATACCGCGAGATATGAGGCAAGTTCTGGGAGCCTGATTCATAACCGAGAGGTTTGAGGGTCTCCTCTAGTTAGAGTCAGTGCGAGAATGCCTCATAAATGTTTTAGCCAGAGTAATTGAGATGGGGAAAAAACAACTGTTGTAGTATATGTGTGAGTAGAAGCCCTGCATGAGTAGAGTAGGCTTGAGCGGGCATAGGTCTAAATCCTTGACAATTCGGTCTGCTCACAACATGTGAATAAGACAACTGCTAATGGGAAGCTGTTCTGATAAAGTAGATCTACTTAATAAGAACTATGCATATGTGCAGAGAAAGGATCCCAGCATCCGCAAGAGTGCATGTTCTTGGGGGTACACTTGTAATCCATTAAACATCCCGAAGCCACACCATCTATTTGTCAATTTTAGTAAACTAAACGTGTGCCCCTATTTAAGACTGTGGACGTGGGTGTATTGGATTGACTTAAGAAAATGGCTCAAGGCCTTGAAGCTAACCCAATGGAGTACCATGATACCATACCTCTTGAAGGATCCTAATTTCCCTAATTACATTTGTATTGGATGCCAAATTAAGTGAATTTGTGAGAAAATGTTTAAAAATGATTTACAATGATTTTTTAGAATCTTCAACATTTTTGTTAAAAGTAAAAATAGCTTTGAAAATTTGATTGCACAAAATTCCACCCAAGGATGCTCACATGTGGGGCATGGCACACAAATGGCCAATGTGTGCCACTACACATGCATGCCCCACACTAGGTGCCACGTCATGTCCATGTGGACATGACATGAACTGTCCAAGTGGGGCGTGAAGGCCTTGTTTGGATGGCCACATAATGTGGATAAGTGTGTTGTGAAAATTAGGGTTTAGCCACATTTGTTTCAACTCTCATAATCCGTTGAAAGCACTTCTTTTGTTATGTGATGTTTTGCTCTCATTGTCTCTGACACTCATCTTCATATCTTTCCCACACGTGGTTCATTAGAAGCCCCCTTTCTTTGAGTTCCTTGATTGTGTACATAAGAATCTTGGTGTGGCATGAACTTAGTAGATGCATGCTTCCCTTATAGATTTGATCTAATCCTCAAATCTTGTGCTATCGATGGAGAGTTTGTATAAGGGTTGTAAGTAAATACGTGGCCGTAAACTCGGTACCTTGAGAATACAAATTGTCTTCCTGCCCAATCTAATCTAGTGCTCATACTTGGCTTTCTTATCTATTGAGTTGTAATGTTGATGTAATGAAGAAGCATTGTATATAATGAACAGATGTATTGAGTTTGATGTAATCTTGAGTTTACTGAGTTTGATGTAATTTGAGTTTATTGAGCTTGTAATTGTGAAGCGAGTGGAAGTAGTTGTCTTGGATCTTGAAGTTCTTCTTTTCTTTATCGGAAGTGTAGCCTTTGAGGGGTTTCCCCAAGGCATCTTTGATGCAAATTTTATATATTAAATGAAATTTAGTTAAATGTTTTTTGTTTGCATGTACCTTGTGTGGTACCCCTTGTGCTACAACAAATGCATGGGATTACAATCCATGTTGTGAGATATCCAGCCTGAAAAGTGATGGAGGTTGAGGAATGGGCGGTGGAGTGGGAGAGCCCGTAATAAACAAGGGGCTCTAGAAAAAGAAGTTCCAAATGATCTTGATGATGTGGAAGTGGCAGGGATCAATCAAAAGGACATGCAAGAGGACTTGTGGGAGGCACATTTTGAGGGGTTGAGGGAGCACATAGTGGTAGGAGCTCCATTGAGGAGGACTGAGGTGGTCGGCTATAGGATATGAGAGAGAGAGAGAGAGAGAGAGAGAGAGAGAGAGAGAGAGAGAGAGAGAGAGAGTAGAGTA